CTCTGTTCCTCCCCTGCTTGTGTTCGTTCTCTCTCTCTCTCTCAAAAATAAATAAACATTAAAAAAATATTGGCATTGTTGTTCTATTTCTGTGATGGAATGGAGTGGTGTGCCTTGTGTTGTTTGTTTAGGAGAGCAGGTGATGGCATGAGTGTTTATGCTTTTCCATTCTTATAAAGAACAGTGGCTCCTTCTTGGCTTTTCACAGAAAGAATCTTCAGCTTGCAATGTGCCTAATGCAGACGGCATGGGAGGACCTTTCCTCCTAGAGTTCTTTGACTTATGAATATGATGAAAATAGTAGGCTCCAAGTGCAACCACAGACACAGACGGAAGTCTCCCAGAGCTGGATTATCTGATTCCTCGCTATGGCCCATGTTTCTAGTTCTTTCACGCTCAGAAGCGTGAAAAAAGGGAGGTTTTTCTTTCTCTTTTTTAAGTTTATTTATTTATTTTCGGAGAGACAGAGAATGGAAGGGGAGGAGCAGAGAGAGAGGGACAATCTCAAGAGGGACGTGGGGCTTGAACTCCTGAAACGGTGACCTCACGACCTGCAATGAAATCAAGTGTCCGATGCTTAACTGACTGAGCCACCCGGGTGCCCCCTTTGTTGCAGGGGACGTTTCTTCTCAGGCCTATTCCCTTGAGCTTGGGACCTTTTCTCCAGCTTTACTTTATTTTGGTGTAGCTCTTACTTCACCATGTGTAATTTATCCCAGCTCTCAGTTAAAATGTATCTTTAATCTTTCCTCCTGGGAAAGGGGTTTGGGGAAACAAATGAAAATATCTGACTTTCAGAGCCAGTATCACTGTATACATTTTCATGTGCCTGTAAAACTCGGAATGGTCTTCTTTTCATGTTTTCAGTTTTATTTTCTATTCTGGGCCCTAGGACAGAACTTCAAACTAGTGTGATGAGGGCAAATTATAGAATATGAATCCTTTCAGCCTTTGAGGTGATGGGGCAGAGCTGGGTGCAGCCAGAGTTTCCCTGCCTGCCCTTTTAAGTTATAAGCATGTCTTTCGTTTATCCCAGTGTGTCCTACAAATATTACCATTTTCTGTGTGCCAGGAGGTCAGAAAGCTTGGAAAATGCTGCTATCAGGCTGATTCTTCAGGTTACTATCCATACAAAAGCCTAAACATTCTCTCTCTCCTTTTCTTGTGTTGTTTGAGGTTTATGGCCTCTGGCCTTTTGTAAAAGATTATCCTACCAGACATGGTGACTTGGTTGGTGTCTCCCAAATACTGTTCATAGCAAACCCATACTGTGTCCTCACTCATTTTCATAGCTTAATGCCCCCCGCTTTTATTTATTTATTTATTTATTTATTAAATTTTTTTAACGTTTATTTATTTTTGAGACAGAGAGAGACAAAGCATGAATGGGGGAGGGTCAGGGAGAGGGAGACACAGAATCTGAAACAGGCTCCAGGCTCCGAGCTGTCAGCACAGAGCCCGATGCGGGGCCCGAACCCATGGACCGCGAGATCATGACCTGAGCCGAAGTCGGACGCTTAACCGACTGAGCCACCCAGGCGCCCCGCCCCCCCCTTTTTAAATGCCATTTTAAGTTCTATTATATTCTCTCAATTATGCTCTTCCTTTCTTTTTTATATAGGATTTTATAGATGGGAGCACACCCAACTCCTTTCTTACATATCAGCTCACCATTGACGCTGAGGTAGTTGTAGCCTGTGTTCTTCCCAGTTTTGCCTTTTGGCAACGTTGATTAACTGGGCCAAGCCCACAAATGCCAACTTCTTTCCACCCTGTCCCCAATTCCTCAGTATCAGTGCAAGGACAGAAATGCAGGGTAATAATCTGCTGGGAGCTGGTCAGTAATAATAGTGTTCATTAATATTTCCCCCTTTATCTTTTTTTCCTCTTATTTCCTTTTTTCCTTTTATTTTATTTCCTTTTTATTCTCCTTTTATTTTAACTTGTATTAGTCTGAACTAAGGGAGGAGACATAGGTTGTGATTAAGCTGAAAAAGTGTTTGTTTGGTTTTTCCAGATGAGAATTCTCCAGCCAACTTCTGGGATTCTAAAAACAGGGGAGTGACTGGAACCCAAAAAGGGCAAATCGTATGGAGAATTGAGCCTGGGCCCTATTTCATGGAACGTAAGTACTCAGCGAGAAGTAGAAGTTTGTTACTGAAATTCCATAAATATACAGAAATCTAGGGAGTCTTGTCTGAATTTATTATAAAAGTTTCTGGCTCTGATTTTCATATTTATGCCATGTATCCTCAAACTGGGAAATATATTGTTTTAGAAAATGCTCGTTAGAGAATGTTCACATATTTTGAATAAAGTGTATGTAAATATATATGTGTGTGTATAATACATATACACATTACATATATCTTGTGAATGCATAGTATATAAGTCATGTTTGGTTATTTTAATACTTTACACATTTTTATATACCCTTGTATCTACATTCGTAATTAATATTTATTATATTAACTTCTGGGAGCAGAAAGAATAACTCAAGATTTCAGTTAACTTAAGAATTTTATTTGTCTTCAGAATACTTTGCTATTATTTTTCCCAGCAGCGGAATAACTGTTGCATTCGGGTCCTCGTCTTTACAATTCGATGAGAGAGTCTGGGCAAACTGCCATAGAGGTCAATTTTAAGAATAAGAAATTGGCTGCAGGTAACTCAGCCATTACCCCGTTGATCTGATGTTGTATTTCTTTGCAAATACAAATGCTTCTATATAGTACATGGCTCACAGAAATAGCTCATCTCTTTTTATTTAGGGTGAAGGAGAGTATTTATATTTGCCACTAATGTTATTGAGAACATGGTGTGTACATTTTTGTAGGCTAGATAGAAATGTGAATGAATACACAATCTACTGAGTGGTTCAAGTTAACTTTTACATTTACACAGTTCTTCATTAATGTAGAAAATGGGCTATTTAAAAATTTTCTGAGTTGTTTAGTTTGTGTAAGAATTAACTTTTCTATATTCAAGAGATTTAATATAAGAGAGAGAGTGTGTATATGTGTGGATATTAGTACTGAAGGATTGTACTTATTAAACCTTAAAATATAAAGTAAGGTTTGATTAAATGGGAACATGCTATGAACTTACTTTTATTCAAGTATATAAATTTTTATTATATAAAAAGTTATTTTCAAAGATTAATATCTGTTACTTTGAATTGCCATTAAAGACGTTAGATTATTTCTTCCACATCCTTACTGGTAAGTCAGCATTTCATAACTTTCTCTAATCATGTTTCTCTCTCCTAAGAACTATCTGTTTTTCATAGTTCAATATTTGACTAGAGTCTCTTGAAAACCTAAAGGGAATGTAGTTTTTAAGGGAAAATGTTCATGATATATCAGTAAGTAAGGGGGAAACAGGTAGATACACACAACATAATTCTAACTAATACCATAACATATAGGAAAAAATCTGGAAGGAGATTTGCCAAAATGTGAACATGGGTTGTTTGCGAGGAGATGAGATTATGGGACATTTGTTTTTCTACTTATTATTTCTGCTTTATTTTCTACTTTACTTTCCAACATTTGGCCCAGCTGGCAGTACCATGTATTAATAAGAAAAAGAAGTGGGGAAAATGGAATGGGTTTACTTTCATTCAGTGTGATTCCTCCTTTGAAAGGATGCCAGGGTTTAAGAGGCTGACGTAGCAGAGAATCCTGCCAACTGAATTTCAGGGGAAAAGGTAAAACAACCTTCCTGTTCCTTCCAAAATGCCAGCCTGCTAGGAACGATTGCCTCCGGATGGAGTGTGTAGCCTCATACCATGGGGTTCAGGTGAACACCGGGGAAGACGTTAGTATCACATACTGTTATAATTTGGAACTTTTTTTTGTGAAAAGCCCCACTTGCAGATATTTCATTTGCCATGACTGATTTTTTTTAAGCTTTTATTTATTTTTGACAGAATGAGAGAGAGAGAGAGTTGGGGAGGGGCAGAGAGAGAGAGGGAGACACAGAATCCGAAGCAGGCTCCAGGCTCCGAGCTGTCAGCACAGAGCCTGACGCGGGGCTCGAACTCATGAACCATGAGATCATGACTTGAGCCTAAGTCAGACGCTTAACCAACTAAGCCACCCAGGCGCCCCTGCCATGATTGATTTTATTTCTCCTCCCCAAAGTGTTAGAGATTCATAATGTCCTGGCCGATCAGGATACACTAATATCTCTGTCTTGAATGTTTTTCTTTATGCTTCACTCTAGTGTTTAATAGAAATAAGCTTGACATTGACACTAGGAGTTGGGAATGAAGAGTAGGTTTTTGTTGTTGTTTTATTTTCTCCTCTAAATTCCATCTCAATTCTTCACACACAAAACTAGAGAAAATAAAACCGGAAATATTCAGCAATGAATTTTTGTAAGGACTAGAAAAAGTCGTGTATGTTAAAATCCAAGACGGTGAATGAGAATTACAGAAAGTTTGGTTTTAGAATAAATTTATCTTCATTAATCAGAATGAGGCCTCTTTCAGCACACATTCATATCCTTTCAACGTGTAAAAACCTAAGGTGGTATTTATCTAAGTGCTTAGTAGCGTAGTCCGTGTCTTTTAGACATCATTTTTTTTTTTTTAACCCCTACAGCAGACCTAAGGGGACTTCCGGCACAGTGAAGTTTTGCTTGAACCTCTGGAGCCGATGGTGTGGAACTTCTAAAAATTGGGTGGGGAGGGGTTAGACAGCTTCTATATTTTCAACCTCTGATCTTGAAAACTTGAGACATTTAAAAACTTTTGCTTTCATCTTCAGAAAGAAAATTTATCTTTAGCTCAACAGAAGTTCAGGCAAAATAAAATTAAAATTCTCTGAAAATTGCCCTAAGTGCATGGGCAAACCTTGATCTCAGCCCCCTCTAAGCTCTTTCTGAATGTAAAGATGGCTTTAGTGTGTCTGGAAAAAAAACCCAGAGGAGGCAGGCAGCCCAGACTTCTATTATTACGGGGCCTGCTTAAATGAATTCGAAGGACAAAGACAGGTGTAATTTTGGGCACATGACTTTCCTAGACCCTGGAGAGGAGGATCAGCTTCCTCTGCACCTACTTGTCACCAAACTGTCAGATAGTCCTCAGATGAGCTTATGCTTGCAGAAGCTGAATGGGTCATCTTTGCAGGATGCATCTTGAGCTTTGAAATGTAAAAGGTTTCTTTTTTTTAATTTTTTTTTTCAACGTTTATTTATTTTTGGGACAGAGAGAGACAGAGCATGAACGGGGGAGGGGCAGAGAGAGAGGGAGACACAGAATTGGAAACAGGCTCCAGGCTCTGAGCCATCAGCCCAGAGCCCAACGCGGGGCTCGAACTCACAGACTGCAAGATCGTGACCTGGCTGAAGTCGGACGCTTAACCGACTGCGCCACCCAGGCGCCCCGAAATGTAAAAGGTTTCAAAGTTGTCTTATCATACTAGGATGTCTCTGTTATTCTTTGTAGTCTTTCATAGACTTTGGCCATTCGTTCATTCATTCATTCACTCAGACCTGCTTTTGTCATTCCTTCATTCCTTCTATTCATCTGTCCATCTCTCTCTCCCCAGCCATCATGAAGTATTTATTAAGTGCCAGCTGTGTGCCACACACTATTCCAGGAGCTCACTAAATCCTGGATCAGTGAATGAGCTTAGAACTTCATTGCTGTGTGAAAAAATGCTTTGTGATCATTGAGGATAGTATCAGAACATTGATATTTATATAAATGATATAGTGCTTTTACACATCTTACCTGTCTCAGCCCTGGGAAGTGGGCAGGGTTAGGAAACTGAGCATCCGACATGTAAGTGGCTTGTGTCTCTGATTGGCACTCAGGTTAGGAAGTATGATTGCCAGCATACGGTGCCTTGACAAAAGGCCTTTGCTTTATGAATGGCTTTTTGGGGAGGTAAGGGAGGCAGGTGGCCTTGGTACTGTTCAGAGCCTTTGCCCTAAATATCTCCATTCCCAAGCCCCTTCCTGCCAACATCAGAAGGCCTTTTTTTTTGCCCCTTGGATGGATTTGGTGCTTTTTATTTTCCACTCTCATACATTAGGTTTTGGATCCTGTTCATTTGCTAATCCTATTAGGTTTCCACTACCTCCACACCGGTATTATCTATCTTTGATTTTCATGATTGTTTAGCTGAGCTTTCGCAGAGGAGGAGGAGCAGAGCCATTTTAGGCTCTATTGGCCCTTAGTAAAGAGAAGATAACTTGTAGTAACATATAAATGATAGGTTAGTGGGGCGCCTGGGTGGCTCAGTCGGTTAAGCATCCGACTTCAGCTCAGGTCATGATCTCATGGTTCATGAGTTCGAGCTCCGTGTCGGGCTGCATGCTGACAGCCCAGAGCCTGGAGCCTGTTTCAGATTCTGTGTCTCCCTCTCTCTCTGCCCCTCTCCCGCTCATGCTCTGTCTCTCTCTCCCTCTCAAAAATAAACAAACATTTAAAAATTATAAATAAATAAATAAATAAAAAGCATGTCACTGGAAATGTGGGCAGACTTCCTCAAAAGCATGAAGATTAAAATGTATTTACTTTTTCCAATTTGTGGTCTCTGAATAAAAGAGCCTGTGAATAAGAGTCATAGTATGAAGAATATAATAAAAGCACACAGGACCATGGTGAAAATCATGTTTTAGAATTAATTGCTTTAATTGTTTTAGAATTAATAAAATCAGTAAGTTGAATTTTTTAAAGATTATTCTTTTTAAATAAAAATGCTTGAAGGAAGAGCATCTCCATTTCATCTACTTTATGGTTCAAAATATTCAGCTTCTAGAAACCTGGGGAAATTGCACACTTTCTAAATAGGAACAAGCTATTAGTGACTGCCTAAGTGAATCTTGTTGCTATTTAAAGTGATGGATGAGATCCCAGCCTTTGAAATAAAACCATTTCTTGCACAGGGTGGCCTGTAGAATCTTTTTTCAGAGAGGGCTTGAAATGAAGTTTTATACTAATGCCCGGAGTTAATGTAGCTGAGTTGAGATTCTTTTTAAAAAATAATTTTTGAATAAGTAGTGTATGAAAGAATATAATGTTGAAAAGATCCAAAGGTAAACGTATCTCCTCAACTTCATGCCCCAGTCATCAGTTTCTCCTCCCCGAAGGCAAGCACTTTTACCAGTTTCATTTGATCTGTCTGAAAATATTTTATTCATATACAAACCCAGAAACACAATGGTTGCCTTAAAAATGCAGTGTCCTAGGGGGCACCTGGGTGGCTCAGTCGGTGAAGCATCTGACTTCGGCTCCTGATCTCACAGCTTATGAGTTTGAGCCCCATGTCAGGCTCTGTGCTGACAGCTCAGAGCCTGGAGCCTAGAGCTTGCTTCGGATTCTATGTC